TTGCAATAATGCATTATTCCTGCACAGGGCTTTCTGGCCAAGGATTTGCAAGCTGAAGCTCTCTGCAAACTTGATAGGAGAGTAAAAGCCACAATTGAGCAATTTATGAAGATCTTGGAAGAGATTGATACGCTGGTAAGTAAATATTCAGCTGAGAAGAACTAGTTTCCTTTGACTATGTTTCAGTCAGTTTCAGTCTTTCAGTAATGCACTCTTACTGTATGAGTATATTGAGCACCCGCTGTGTGTCAGACACTGCTAGTCCTTGATGGATACACAAAAAGATAAGACAGTTCCTGATTTTTAGTCACTCATATCACACTAACATAAGGCTTTTGTCATTTTTATTTATGTATACTAATAGCATCCAGTTCTCACAAAGTTGGAACCCAAACGGACTCTGATTTTATGGTCAGAGAAACACAGGGCTTTGCTTTCCTGATAATTCATGTGGCTGATATTCCACTGGGCTCATTAGCTGGATGGAATTCAGTTAGACTCATGAGTAGCTCTTAGGAGACTATGGGGGCTCATCGACTCCATGTTCCCTTCTGCAGAGGGATGGTAATGGTATTTCTAGCCTGATGCCTCATGTTTTTAAAATTAAAAAAAAATTTTTTTTTTTTTTTTTAGATGAGAATGAGAGACAGAGAGTGAGAGGGGGTGGGGCAGAGAGACAGGGAGACACAGAATCCGAAGCAGGCTCCAGGCTCTAAACTGTGAGCACAGTTCCCAATGCAGGCTAGAACTCGTGAAACCGCGAGATCATTACTTGAACTGAAATTGGACGCTTAATGGACTGAGCCACGCAGGTGCCATTTTTGAGGGTGAATTTCTCTGCTTGGGATTCTAGGGGAGTGAGAGGGGTTTGTAAAGAAGAGGCACAGTGAGCTCATGGTGTGACCAGGACATAGTATCTGTACATAGGACACAGAGAAAGAACAAAGTCTTTGTTACAGATCAGTGTCTATGGCCCAGACATTGAGAACAAAGGGAACTTTTATAGAGGCGAGAGCCATGGGAAGAGCCATGTAAGATAAGATACAGACCAAGGGAAATCATTCCTGAAAATCCATGTCTCATTGACATTGGTGACTTAAGATGCATTTGGCATACTGTGGTGTTCTATCATGTTGTTATGCCATTTTTACTGAGATTATTTATGTGTCAATGTGTTCTTCCACAGATTCTGCCAGAAAATTTCAAAGACAGTAGACTGAAAAGGAAGGGTTTGGTGAAAAGGGTTCAGGTGAGTTGTGTGGTCAGAGATTACAAAGTTTAATGTGTTCACCTGCGTGTGTGTTTACCTGCTCAAAGTAGGGTAGGATAGAAGTGTGATGTGTGGTGTGGACTTTTTTTTTTTTTTTTTGGTTGTTATTTCATTGTTATTTCATGAGCCCAGAACATAAGAGAAAAGCTCCTTTCATATCCCTGTAATTATATTTGAATTTACTAACTGGGAAGGAAGATCACACAATTCCAGGAGACACTATTCAGGTGAACACTGCTCCCTGAAATTGTACATTCACAGTGGCAAGGTTTCCTGTCCTCACCACCTGCTGGGGGTTGTCGTCAGAAACCCTAGTCCTATGCTGCCTCTGCCCCTGCCCTGCTTGCCTTAGAGCCAGGCCAGCTCCATCCCTACACAGCCTGTTTTGAGTCAGTCACCCACGGGTTCTGCACAATGGCTAAGCAAAGAGCCTTGCACGGGCAGGGATTGGCTAGCCCAGGATGGTCCCTCACTGCCCTGTATTTATGTATTAGGCATTCCTAGCTGAATGTGACACCGTGGAACAGAACATCTGCCAGGAGACAGAGCGGCTACGGTCCACAAACTTAGCTCTCGCCGAGTGAGGTGAGGCAAAGAGCATGTGCTGCCTTGAAGAACAGTGCCACCACCTCTGTCCTCTCTGGAATAGAAGTGACCTGATTTCTTCAGGGCCGCTGGGGACAATTGGCCGGTTGCCTGTTTTCTTGCCCCTCTACCTGTTCTCAATGAACAAGTGTTGTCTGCAATCTTCAGTAGAGCTCCTGTCTGTTTTCTCATTCTGTCTCTGTATGGCTGTGCTGTCCTGCAGCCCACCTTGTCTGGAGAGGGCCTCCCCTCCCAAGTCTTCCCAGCTCTTTTGAGCTTTGGGTGCTTTCTTTGGGCTGGAGAGACCTCCTATTTGGGTTTATAGGCCACCCCCATCTTCAGATACATGAGGCCTTTTTGCCCTTGTGATTCTATAACCTATAGATGTAACCTAGAACCACCAGGAGGTTACATCTAGTCAGGAATGTCGGGAGTAGCTCAGAACAGGTGTTTGGCAACGTGGGGTAGTCTAAACATCCCTCATTGTAACCTAATTCTGGCACAGCTGGCCGGATTGTTGGTTCACAGACCCTGACCTCACCTCCCAGTGACCCTGCCCAGCCTTGGGCCTTGAGATCTCAGAAGCCCATTTCTGGGTGGGGCTTGTATTGATGCTTAGACTTCCTTGTCCTCAGGTAAATCTCTAGTAGGTTAAGGCTGGTATTGACTGAATCTCTGCTTGAAACCAGGCCACAAGTATGGCTTAGTGGGGGCAAAGAGAAGAGTCACAGTGAGGCAGGTAGTGAAGGCAACTGTAAACTTCTCAGGAGTTCTTTCAAAGGCATTTCTGTTTCATTGTACCCTTCTGAGGTCAGTGTTTCCCTCAAGGCTGTTCCTGGTTTTTTTGTGGCCTTTTCCCCCTACGTTGTTATGTTTTTTAAAAAGTAGTTAATGTACGTACACATCATCAGTAAGCAAAACAATGTTCCAAGTTTTTTTGATGAAGTATGAGAAGCAAAAGCCTTCTGCGGTTCTAGCTATAATTTATGTTTAATAAGGTTGAGAGTGGCTCTGTATGCTAGAACTCTTAACCGGCTCGGCTGCCGTCACCCCAGATTTTCCCACAGTGCCCAGGAGACAGGATTCCCACAGGCCACTCTGAGGCTGACCTTATTTGGCAGAGAGGGAGTCCCAGAAGCCCCAGGAATTTAGGACTGCGCAGGCGGGGCCTAGCACAAGGCAGTGGCAGTGGGGCATAAGTGGATGAGGCTCCGCCTTGCCCAGCCCACCTTGCACTTTAATCAGCAGTTCAGTATTTGTTTTTATACGGTAGCCCTGTGGCCTTGGGCCAAAACATGTAATGAGAAGTTCCCGTGCACCAGGTGCTGTTCTGAGTTCTTTGGGTGTATTAGTCATTTAATCCTCACACATTCTAAGAGGCAGACAGATAATCTCCCCATGTTAGAGGTGAGGAAGCAGAGAGCTCACGTAATTTCTCAAGGTCATAAGTGGCAAGGCCAGGATACAAAGCTAGATGGTTTGATTTAGAGCCCACGCTCTTAATCTCCACTATACTGCCTCCTGACAATGTGGGCTTTCTCACTCCCTCTCATATTCTCTCTTCCTCTCTCTCTTTCTCCCTCATTGGTCTCTACTTCCCCTCTGGCCCTCTGCAGAGCAGCTTGAGTAGTCATAAAGTACAGATTTTACCATGTCAGTCCCCTTAGGATAAAGGCCAAAGGCCCTACCCTGTGCGCTTGCCCTGTCATCCTGGGCCACTCTCCTGTTTGCTGGCTGCTGTGGTCTTCCAGATGCTCTGTGCCCTCTCCTGCCTTGAGCAGGCCATCTCCTTGCCTGTCTTTGCACATGCTGTTCCTCCATTTGGACAGCTCCTTACCATCTCTCCCCGTCCCTACCCCACCCCCTTTCTAGGTAACTGAACATCCCTTGAACTTAAGTCAAATGTCTCTCCATGGAGAAACCTCATCTACTGTCAGAACATATCAAACCCCCATGCGATACCGTTTCCCAGTTTGCCATAACTTTTCTTAATGATGAGTAGCATGATAAACCATGATGATTTATTTGTGGGATTATTTGATTAATATGTACCTTTAACCCTAGACTCTCTAAGTTCCTTGGGTTAAGGAGTTTCTTTGTCTTGTTAACAACATATTTCAAGCACATCTATTTATAATGGGTGCTCAATAAATATTTGGAGAATAAATGAGTGTATGTTGAGCACACATATCTACAGTGAAATTCCCATAGCTGTTCTCAGCCACTGAAGCTCTGTCAGCACCGGAATTTACAGCATTTACAGTGTCAATAGCCATTGTTTTATTTAAGGGTGGAGAAGAGAGGCCGTAAGGCACAGGCTGCTGGGCAGATGTTCAGGGTGGTGACTGGGGCCTGTGCACAAGGCCCACCCACATAGATCTGCACATCCACAGGATAACTCTGCCTGTGAACAGGGAAAGAACACTCCTCTGTCGCCCACTTTCTCAGGACATGGTCAGTCCTACTGCAGGGGAACAAATGGGGCTCTGTGACCCACAAACATCCTTCAGCCTCACAGAGCTGGAAGAATTCTCCCACACATTGTCTGTTTAGTCACCAATTTCTACTAATCCTTTAAGACAGACCGTAAAGGTTACCTTCTCTGAGAAGCCCTTCTTCAGGACTGGTATTCAGGACTCTTAGTTGAAAGCACCAGAAAGCAAATTCCAAAGAGATTGTTAAAATAGAAAATTTATTGGCAGGATGTCGAGTTACCCCATGTAACTTTGGGACATTCGAGGGCAGTTGGACTCCAGGAGCTCAAACACAACCTGGAATTACTCTCTCTATCTTTCTCTCTCTCTCTCTCTCTCTCTCTCTCTTTTTTTAATGTTCATTTATTTATTTTGAGAGAGAGAGTGTGAGAGTGGGGAGGGGCAGAGAGAGAGGGAGAGAATCCCAAGCAGGCTCCACACTGTCAGCACAGAGCCCAACATGGGGCTTGAACCCACAAACTGTGAGATCATGACCTGAGCCAAAATCAAGAGTCGGTCACTCAACCGACTGAGCCACTCAGGTGCTCTTTTTTTTTTTTTTCAACTTTTTTTAATGTTTAGTTTTGAGAGAGAGTGTGAGCAAGGGAGGGATAGAGAGGGGGACAGAGGATCTGAAGTGGGCTCTGCACTGACAGCAGCAAACCGGATGCAGGGCTTGAACTCATGAACTGTGAGATCATGACCTCAGCTGAAGTTGGAGGCTCAACCTACTGAGCCACCCAAGTGCCCCATATCTCTTTCTTGGCATGATGGTATCATTCTGTCAATCCTATTTCTTCCACAAAGTAGGAAACATGGCTGTCAGCAACCCTGATTTCATACATCTTACAGCTTCACTACCGGAGAGGAAATGCTTGTTGTTCCCTTATTTCAGTTCAAAAAATCCTGGAGAAGAATCTTGGCCAATCAGTAATGGCCAGGGCAGCAGTGTCGCATGCCACAGATAAGGCCTTTAGGGGCCCAGAGTTAGGTTTCCAGAGACAGGGCCAAGTGTTCACTTGGTGGCGAATGAGGTGTTTCTTCCAGTGTGGTGCCTGGTACCTGGCACGTTGTTCAGGCATAATCTTTGTGATTCCTTATCATGTGTGGAGGCCTGGCAGGGGGAGGATCAACAAGGGGAAGCTTGGCTGAGAAGCTGTATCAATTGAGTGTAAGAGGGACTCCCCACTTAGAGTATAAGCTTAGATATCACCAATATTTACACTTCTATAGTAAGTGAACTGATTTTCAGCTTAGCACATAGCCAACCAGATAATAATTTTTCCTAGTTTTATTGTGCCAGCGTGGCCAAGAGACTATGGGATGTAAATAGACTGTGTGCATCTTATTGGAAGTGTCTTCAGAGGCAGTAGAGTGCCCTTCTCTACCTCTCTGTGGACTGGAATGTAGACATGATGGCTGGCATTGGAGCAGCTGTCTTGTACATTGAAGAGGAAACTGATGATGGCAGAGTAACAATATTTAAGGAACATGAAGTTAGCATACCACAAAGGTCTATGTGCGAGAGAAATTAACTATTTAAGCCACTGTTTTTTGGCTTTTGGTTTCTCACAGCCAAACATAATACTGCGTCCCTCCTATGCAGGAGAGGAGCAAAAGTTTCTGTTAACAATAGCAGTAGTAGGGCCCATAGGTAACCTCCCAGTCCCTGCCACCTGCAAATCTATCAGCAACAGTTCCTGTCTGTGTCCCCATTTCAGTTGTCTGGGGAATGTTGGTTCCTGCCTTTCCTGCCCCCACTTTCTTCCCAGTATGTTTTCCCATAGCACATTTCCCGCTCTCTCTGCCCACCCTAAAGGAAGAATCTGGGTCCACGTGACACTGCTTCTACTGGTCAGGCCCCTCTCCACACTCTTTTCCTCTGCCACCATTCTCAAGTGGCTCCTTCTTTGGCCCCAAAGAGGGTATATTTGACATGGACCACAGGCTGGGGGCTGGGGAGGGGGGGATTTCTGGATGCTGTGTGTTTTCATGGGCCATTGTATAGGTCCATGTGTGCTGTGTGTGACTGGAGTTGTGTCCAATGCCAACATATTTAAATCAGAATGGATGGTGACCAAAAGAACAGAGCAGGGTCTGGAAGTCATCTTCCTGTGGGTGACCAGGGTACAAGGGGACACTCAAAGGCTTGGGGCAGCTATTTTTAACTGTTAATAGAACTAAGTCAATATTTTAACAAGTAGCTCAGATATATTGTGTATACTACCTAAATATCAGCCATGGTGGTATCAGCCTGTGTGTGAGTGTGTGTGTGTGTGTGTGTGTGTGTGTGTGTGTGTGTGTGTGTGTGTAAGACTTGGGGTACTGGTACAGCCCAAGGTGTGTGTGTGTGTGTGTGTGTGTGTGTGTGTGTGTAAGACTTAGGGTACTGGTACAGCCCAAGGAGAAGGCTCTGAGGGGTGTAGGACTCTCCCAAAGTCATATCCTCAGGCAGTGGTAGATGGTACACACATCCCTTAAGTTCTCGACCTTAGTGACAAGCAGGCTGGGGCAGATAAGTGCGCTGGGGACAGGGGCTGACCTCCACAAGAGGGCCAAAGATACTTGGGACATCTGGCGGGGACACATGACAGTATTGAGGAGCATTAGAGTGATGGAGAAGACATCAGATTCAGAGTAGGGAGGTCAGGGCAAAATCCCCCCACATACATTCACCCACCACTGCCACCACCCACCTCACCAAAGTCGTCAAAGATACTGGCCCATTTGGTTGAGTTGGGCTGGATCTTTTATTTCATGTCATATCCTCCACTCTCACCACTCTTCTCTAGCCTGAAGCTTCTTGGCTTAAGAGGCTGCTATGGGGTCAGCATTTGCCATCCTTCACAATCTGGATGTCCTGTTTGGTTTTCCTAGGATCAAAGGAGACAAAGATGAGGCCATCTCCTCAGGGACTGGAGCATACCCTTCAGGGACCCTGCCTGGCCCCGTCTATCAAGACACCCTGCTGAGATATCTCTCCCCCACCCCCCACCCAGTGCAGGTGCAGGGCAGGTCCTAGGGGTCCCTGGACACATCCCTTTATAGGTTTTCCTTCTTGTACACCCTCCCCCAGGAGATCTGAGCTTCCTGGGATTTTGTCTACTACTGTATACTGATGGCTGCTGAATCTGTCTCCAGCCCTGACTCTGCCTTGAACTCTAGCCATACCTCCACCAGGCTGCCCCAGAGGCTCAACTGTCCACAGACCTCATTGCCCCACAAACCGCCTTGATCCCCACTGCCTCCCATCTAAGGACATTGTTCTGCTGCTCTCTTGCCCCTCTGTCCAGAGCGCTATAGCTTCTGAAGACTATCTTCCATGATCCTGCTTAGCTCTGGCCCAGCTCAAGGGTTTTGGGGTCTTTTTAAGTTTATTTATTTTGAGAGAGAGTGGGGAGTGAGTGCGAGTGGGGAGAAGCAGAGAGAGAGGGCGAGGGGAGAAGCAGAGAGAGAGGGCGAGAGAGAATCCGAAGCAGGCTCTGCGCCAGCAGAGCAGAGCCCAATGCAGGGCCCAATCCCACAAACTATGAGATCATGACCTGAGCCAAAATCAAGAGTTGGATGTTTAACCAACTGAGCTACCCAGGCGCCCCTCAAGGGTTTTATTAATGAAGAAAGGAGACAAATAGGTGATCAGACATACCAAGGTCATATTCGGGCCCTTCTCACCTCTCAAGGCTCATTTCTTGCCTCTTCCCACTCTCCTTTAAGCTTTATACTCCAGTGTATCCAATTTCTTATATTTTCTCAAATACAAACTTTTCTTACCCTTCTAGATCTTTCCAAACCCAATTCACTACTTGGAGTTGCCTTTCCTGTTCCTTCTTTTTCCAAGCTAATTTCAACTTATCTTTCAGAACTGAGCTGGGAAGTCGTCCCTGCCCTTGTCCTTGCCCTGCACTCACAGTACCCTGGGTGCCCCCACCTGAGCCTTGAGGATTCTATACCACACAGTTGGCTAACCATTAGCGTGGCTTCCCCCTTGGGCTGACCATATGCCCCAGAAGGCCAGGGATGCTGTCTAGCTTATGCCCTGGTATAGCCCCAGTGCCTAGCATGTAGTAGGTGCTCAATAAATGATTGTTGGCTGGAGGAATAAATGAAGTCAGTCAGGGACAGAACAAGGGAAGGGACCCAGGGTTTCTGCAACGCCCTCCCCAACCCCCTGCCAGCTGAGGTTTTGTGCTCAGAGCCCTGTGCCTTCTTTGAAACACACTTGTGCTTGTTCTATTGGGGGCAGTGTCAGAGGAGTCAGGCCAAGGTGTGTGAAGGAAAAGGCAAGTCAAGTCTTGCTCCTTTCAGACCTGCATGCACCAGACATGGGGCAAGCCGAGGGGAAGGTGTGCGGTGGACTTACAGCCGAGTCAAGCAGAGCTGGCATTCACTGTCATATGTAACCCCATCAGTGCCACAGACCGGGATGGATGTCTGGGAACAGATTGGAGATTCCGCCATGTGCTCACAGATGGGCTGTGGAAGAGAGGAAGGGAAGGAGGGCACTCAAGGATTCAGAGGCAGTGAGGAGGGACCCAGGGACTCTGCTTGGAGTCATGGGCTCCAGGGGAGAGCCAGATTCAAGATGGCCCCACTGTTGGTCCAGGGAGCATGAAACTAACCGCTCACAGCCCCTTGGCATGTTTGCTTATGTGTGCGTGCATGACTAAGTGTGTGTCTATGTCTGCTGAGCCCAAGTCTGTTGGCAACCATGCGTTTGTCTGTGTCTGTATGTGAGGAGTGAGTTTATGCCCTCAAGCTCCTGGGGATGGGTTCCCACTCTTCAGAGGGCCTAACTAGAACCTCTGCTGCTGGTCCCAGTGAGGACCCCAGGAGACAGAACAATCCAGCAGTCCCAGGGGGCTCCTCCTCACTGAGGGCCCCCCAACTCACTCTGGCCTACATGACCCATCAGACCTCTGGTGTGGGAAGGCTGGAAAAATGAGACAGGGCTTGGGATGGGAGCGTGGGACAGGACAGGGTGAGAGAGGCAGTGCCATGCAACAGTGATGAGATCTGGAGCCTGAGTTCTGCACTGATTAACTGTGTAAATTTGACTGAGCCGTTTCTACTCTTTAGGCCTTAGTTTTCCTCATCTGCAAAAACTGTAAATAAATATAGTATTCTTCTCATATAGGGTAATTGAAATAATGTGTGTAAAGTACTTGGTTCCTTGGCACAATAATAAGCCTGGGTTCTGGTGGGCTGACAGTGTGAACTTGCTGAGGCTGCTGGATGGGAAGGTGGCTTTGAGCCTCCTTGTTCACCTACGTGAAGGGTGGGTTGGGGGATCTCAAGGAGGCCCGCACCACTGCCTTGGGATCCCTGGGGACATCAGACCCAGGGCCAAGGTAGAATCAGGGTTCAGAGACAATTTGGTGTCTGTCCCCTGCAGTGAAGAGATGGATGATGGAGTGTGATTGGGGAGGTTGGTCACACCAGGGGGCCAAGGGGCCAGGGGGCCTCTGGCCTGAACCCTACAGCCTGCCCCATCTGCACTACACAAAGCAGAGAGTGCACTCAGTCCTGCTGAGCCTGGGCAGGGGATCTCACTGCTGGCAGGGACGTTGGAGACCAGGTTGGGGCAGATCTCTTGAGGTCCTTGAAAGCAAGTTTGGGACCTTGGCAAAGGGGCTGGGCCAGCTCAGCCTGGAAGGGCTAACCTGGGGAGCATGCAGGTTCAGGAGGCCATGCTGGCCACCTCGGAGCCATCTTGAGTTGTCTGAGCAAGAGTATAAAGAAGAAAAATGGTGGTTGCCTAGCATGGATACGGAAGCGAGGCCAGAACGACAGCCCTGGAGCCAAAACTACAAGCGGCTGCCTTACCATTCTTGAGAAAGTGAACTTTCCCTCCACGGACACTGGCACTTCTGAAAGGCAAAAATGCAAGAGTTAGGTGATAATGGCTCTAGGCAGGAGGTCTGGGCTCTGACGACTGCTTCAGGAGACCTGTTCCAGCCACTACCCAGTCTGCAATTCGCAAGGAAAAGTACTGAGTCACCAGACAGTGGGGCTCCCAGAAAGCTGATGTGACCTTGGGTTGCTAGCACAGAGACAGGAAATCTAGAGTTAGGGAGGTGATGCTCCGACCTGTTCCTTATTTGTCAGATCCCACTAGGATTGTTAAATCCCATATAATAATAAAAATAGTTCAGTTACTATGTACCAGGCATCGAGAATACATGATCTTAATTAACTAGTCTTCACATCTCTATCACTATTATGCAACAAGGAGGAAAGGAGGCTGTGGTAGATGCTGTGGTCTGCTACCCAGATCCCACCTGCAGGACTAAGGTGCTCATTTCCTCAGCTGCCAGGAGTATTGGCCACTCCTGGCAAGTCCCTTGCTAGGAATTACCCTCAGAGAACAGAGCTGCCTCACCCGTGTTTGCATCCCCGACCCAGGAATAGCCCACATCCAATGACAGGTTGGTGTTTGTACAATGGCCGGAACCCCTCATCTCTATTCAAAACAATGTGGAGGAGCCACCCCAGCTCGAAAGCTCCCTGTAAGATTGTTGGGGGCCTCTGTTGCACAGCATCACAACTTTCCTCATCCCTCATGGGTGTACCCCCATGAGCATGCCCCAAGACACGGCATGCCTGTCTGAGTCTGCTTCCTGGGGAACTTGCCCAACCTAGGGAAGAGGCTCAGAAGGTAAAGCAACACAGATTGTTGAGGGCAGAGCTGGGATTGCACACAGGTCTGTCACTTCCCAGCCTGTTCTTGTCTCATACACGGTTGTGCCACCCAACCATCCATGGTCTAGGTGCACTGCTTGCACACGAACAAACTAATATGACTGGAGAACATGACAGGTGCAAGGGGGAGCGGAGCCATATCTAATGCCATAGGTGGAAGGTAAGGTGTCTACATAAATTGGAGAAGGGCAGGATGCTTCCTGAAGTCTCTGAAGGGCTGTCCTGGGGCCAAGGGAGAGACAAGCTCTTCTCAACCTCACAGTGCAGAACCCATTTGTGCAAGGAAACAGCAGGGAGGCAGGTTTGAGTTTCAGAATTTTCTCTCAGTGGAAACATACCTCAGTGAAGGATGCTGTTTCCAGAAGTGGAGAGTTCTCCATCACTGGAAGTGTGCCCAGCACTGTGGTTTTAGCTTTCCCTGAGGCTGCCGTTTTAAGAGATTTCCAAGGTAGAGAGGGAGAAGGAAAGTGAGACAGAGTGACCCCTGATGTGCTGTTTAAGCATAGCGTTGGGGCAGCAAAATGCAAACCCAGCCTTGTCACCACAGTGCTCAAACCCTCCGTGATTATAAAACTAGAAATGAGAAGTTATCCAAATGTCCTTCAATAGCAGAATGGATAAACTATGATACACAATACAGTGGGATACAACTCAGCAATAAAACAGGAAAACAACTGATATATGCGACAACATAGCTCAATCTCAAAACACGCTGAGCGGAAGAAGCTAGACGCAAGACTATATACTATATGGAAGAGGCACCTTGAGCCAAGGC